TATACGAATCAATTGCAGATAAATCTATTTGAGCAGAGCATTACCTCATGAAGCACTTTCCAAAGATCAAAATATTGATGATGATTTTCTTTTAAAAAAGTAGGATAAACACAACTGCAAAAGCTAAACAAAGTTGAGCAAAGCGAATTCAAAAATGAATTGCGTGAAGGACGAGTTGAACAAAAAGTTAGAATTGATCTCAATAAAGCATTTGGGTTTTGCGAAAAAGCTACGAACTTGATACACAAACTAGTCCCAACAATTTCTGAGATTTTCACTATATCGCTTATTACAAAAATTAATACATGAAATGCTGATCTACAGGAATGATACTAAATCAATATTTTGAATTTTTTCTTAAACTTTCTGAAAACGCCACCTATCTGGTTAGACGACGGATGACCAATATTTGCGAGACGTACGTATAGCAAAGCTGTCACACGTGCAGGTTCTGGTAAAGCACTGAACACCACAGGACACTGCACAGTGCACTGAACTGCTTCCTTGCCGTTTCTGAGCAAACTCTGGAAAAAAATAAGCTCAGATGAAATAGCAAAACCGACTAGGTTGCTTTATTAACCTGTAATGGGATATAGCTTGCTCCCACAAGCATTAGCGATTCAGCATCCCAAGCTTCTACAAAAAGCGAGTTGGAGCATAAGTATGTAATAAACTCATCACGGTCGTTTTCGGTTAACTTTTGACGATCCACGAGGAATTTAATCTAATTACGACAATGTAATAGTGGTACGGATATCATGAGAAGAGCAGCTCACCATAAATCCACATCCATTATCAATGACCTCCTCACCGTTAGCATTCAAGCGTTTGAACACATTGGGCTCATTGTCAGCACTATTTACATCCGATAGCAAAAGCCTAGAAGTACAAGCTTTGGTAATCCTACTGTTCATCACGAAATGTGTGAGATTAGATCAGGTGGAACGCTATTTTTTGGATCAATTACTGTTTGAACGTTAATAGAATTGTACGGATGGAGGAAGCTAGGTGCCTTCTTGAGAATTCGGATTCTGCAGCATAGAATTTTTAGTGCGAAATTAAAATAGATGTAATCGTCATTCCTGCGCAATCTGCTCTGGCGAGCCAGTACTGTCTTGTCACCGATTAGGAGACACGCCCAGTTTTCATAAACCCTTGCTGTGC